GCTGCACGCAACACCCCGACCCACGGGCAGCAAAGCAGGAGCACGGGGGGGGTGGGGGGGTCCGGGAGGGCCCAGGGGGAGGCTGAGACCGGAGGAGCACCGGCACCCTCGGAGCGATGCTCCCAAATCCCCCTCTCTGAAGAACAAAGCTGCAATCCCTCTGCAGATGCAGAATAACTGACAAGCGACGATGATTTATTGCTCTTCCCCAGCAGATAAACTGGCCTCGGAAACGGGTTTGTGCTAAATTACAATTTGCATGTGGTAATATATTTAAGCAACTTTCCTTCTACTTCGTTATAAACAGGGTTTCTCTGGGGGTTATTTCTGAGCTGGCCCCGTTTCATTTATCTCCGGCACACCCGGCGCAAGCGAGCTTAATTGTCGGCGTGGAAATTAAAACCACAGTGGAAAAAAATAAAAAATTAATAAAATAAAGGTTCTGGGTTTGTACGTAGCCTGAGGAACCCCGGGTTGGAATCGAAATAATCACCCCGGCATAGGCGCTAGCTCTGGGCCTCAATAAAAATGATTAAAGACAAAACCCCACTGAAATTTCCACTCCACGGCCGCGTTTGGCTTCCAGCCGCTCTCCCCCTGCAAAGGCACCGGGGCCAGTGCCTCGGGGAGGCCGGCGGCCGCTGAGCCCCTCTCCTGCCGGGAGGGCAGGGCTCTTCTCCCGGAGAATAGCGAGCGGGTTTTTACATTCGGTTCTCTAGCTTTATGATATCACATACACTCATACAGCTAGATAACCAAAGAGAAAAACCAACCCAGGTCTTTATAAAACGGGCCTTGGCCGCGCCGTTTGCCCGGGGGTGTTTTGCCCCGGTGCCGGAGCCCCCCAGGGCGGCCGCGATCCGCGTCCCCTCGCCGCCAGTAATGAAGAAACCCCAACGGTTTCGGTGGGAGAGCAGGAATCTGCCCCGGCGCCTTGGGATGTGACACACAACGCCAGCGCTCCCCAAAGCCCACCCGAGCGCCTCGACCTGACATCTGCACCCCAAAGGGGACCCGCACCCTAAAGCGGGCTCAGCCCCGCGCAGCGCCCCATGGCCCGGGAGCCATTGCAGGGCAGGATGCTCCCCCAGGATCCATCCCCGCTGCCTGCGGCCCAGGGACCTGCCTCCTTCCCAGCCCCAAATTCGCCCCCAGACCCACCCCGGAGCCCGCTCCCACTTTATAATTACTGTAATTACTGGCACGGAACTGCTGAGTCATGAGAGTGGCTGGGGAAGGGATGGGCCCAGCCAAAAGGGCCCCCCAGGGGTTTCCACCGCGCCCCCGCTCTGCCTTCCTCTTCTCCCCTTCCTCCCGCACCCGCTCCCTGCAGCCGGGCCCTGCAACCCCGGGAGGGACCCCTCATATCCTGGGGGTCTGGGCCGTGAATCTCCCGGGGGGGGACGACGAACGACACCCTGCCCG